TATATAAATTACTCAATCTTTCAATTATAAATGATTATATACCATTTATCATTTTCAAATTATTACTGCAAAATTTAAAGTCAATACTAAGATAAATATAAACCTTTGTGACTTAAATTTAAGATAAATTTATTTTTTATTTTTTAAATTTAAAATTATTATTTTTAATTTTTATAATTTTTATAAAATGTTATTTTACTCCTTTAAGTTATTAATATATAATATATAATATATTTAAAAGTATCATATTAAAACAATTATATCGTATCAATCAAAATTAAATAGATTTTATGCGATAGTAAAATTTGTAAAAAAAATCAAATTAAATTATAAAATTAAAATAATCAATTTTAAATTTAAAAAATTAAAAACATATTTAAATTAAGTGTATACCAAGCATAAGTCATTTGAATTTGTGGTTGAACGTACACTTTCAGGAACGGTGTTCACCCGGCTAGTAACACCGGCATACGTGGCGGTACGCGACGAGTTCCGGCGAAGAGTGGGGGCGAACCTGACGGTGACATCCCTAGGAGGGTTCGACACATGCTACAGTGTCCCAATAGTTGCACCCACCATAACATTCCTGTTCTCAGGCATGAACGTGACGCTGCCACAGGACAACATTCTCATACACAGCTCCGCCGGCAGCACCACGTGCTTCGCCATGGCCGCGGCTCCCGACAACGTCAACTCAGTGCTCAACGTCATTGCCAACATGCAGCAACAAAACCACCGTCTTCTCTACGACGTTCCCAACTCCAGGCTCGGCGTCGCTCGCGAGCTTTGCACCTAAAATAAATGTTACTGCTTCCTCGGTTTCTCCTGATTAACGTTGTCGTGACTTTTGGTGACACTATATATGGTCTTGTTACATCGGTTGTTACAAAGTATGGCATTTCTTAGATTGATGGATGAGTTTGGTTTTAGCGTATTGGTAATAAGGTTCCATTGCTAACGATATATATATAGTGGAGGATTTTGGGCTATTTGTTATGTGTATGTGCATGGAATTAAATTCGTACGTGCTTTGAAAGTTATTCATTCATATTTATACGTAGTAGGACTATAGCTTTTGTAATATTGCTGTGTGTCACGGGTTTATATAACCTGTAGCACTTTAATTTGTCCTTTTATTTAAGTTGGTTGAATTGATGAGATTTCAGAATTTAGATTATCGTGCAAGTTCACGGGTGTAATAATAATCTTCTTATTCTTTGCAATTAACGAATTCTAGAGTCGTGAAAGTGGGTTTTTGGCTCGTCCACCAATCTAACCTACCTTGAAAATAAGTCAGATCGAGTCAAAAAAATATTAAAAAAAAAATTATAATGAATCAAAAGATATAATTTGGTCCACTTTTGACTTAATCTACTCGAATTGAACCTGTGGTAGGTTCTCATCAACCCAATTCGTTAATAATTCGCTTAATCATTTATTATTATATATATATATTATTTTAATAAGATACTATTATTTTTTGTAAATAAAAATAAAGTTAATATTGAATAATATGAAATTGTTATTAATTTATCTACTCAAACCTCTAATAAAATTTAATATTGATGAATAATCACCCTCATGAAAAAAAATTTATTTTTTATTTTTGATTAATTAAAATTTTACATTTTTTAATTTAAGTTTAATATGGTATGAATGATACTTAATTTGATAATTTTTATTTTTAGATTAAAGATTATTTTAAATTAGGATTTATTTTAAAAAAATAAGTAAGTTAGTGAATCGACCCACTTAATCCACTGATTCATAATGGACTAAACCGAATTAAAAAATTTTAGAGTTTAAAATTGGTCTAAAGGTTTCAACCCACTTAAAGGTGAACCGGATCAAGGGAGTTGCAGTAGCCGTTTTGATAGCTCTACCGAATTCAATGTCCACGTTTTCGTTGTCGCGTATTTTGCAGAACAAAATCCGTGTAAGTTCACGGGTGTAGTAATAATCTTATTATTTGCTTTTACCGAAATCGATGTCCACGTTTTCGTTGTCAATAATGTTAAAAAGTGTGCTTATTCTGCATAGCAAAATGCAGGTAGAATTTCTTACGTATGATTAATGATGTTTCTTTTTTAAATTAGAGTTCAAGTTTTATATGGGTAGGACGTGAATGTATGTTAATAAGATTTATATTAAATATAAACATATAATATTAAGATAAAATTTTAATTTTAATTGAAGAACAACAGTAATTATATTTAAGGAATTATACTTAAATATTATCTTCTTTTTTTTATGCTTTTGTTAGATCTATATATAAGTAAAAATAACTAATTGCACATAAGTTAAGAAAATTTATTAAATGTTTCATTTTTACAATTTCATATAAAATATACATTATATTTTTTAAAATATCTTTAACCACATTCATCATAGATGGTGCTCACATTTATTATCATAAAGATATTTTTGAATTATAAGAACATTAAATAAGGTTGATTTGATTGAAAGTTGCTTATAATAGTTAAAAAAAATTAAGTATTTTTGTTTATATATAGGTTCAGAGGGAGTATCTATGATATGATTTAAGTAATATAGGACAAATTATCAAGATAAAAAAAAAAAAAACTAGCATAGTTACTTTTAATTAATTCTTCCATAAATTAATTTTTATTCCAAATACATCTTTACTTTATATAATTATTATATTTAATGCTAGTTATAAGTAAATGTATAGAAAATAGAGTTAACAATCAATAAATAAAGGATAAAAAAATTTAACCCAAAGTAATTTAACAATTAATAATTGTTGCTTATAATCAGAATCAAAGAAAAATTCAATTAGCTACTGATAATAAAAATCAGAGAGTATTTTATTATTAAGGAGTGGTGCTTATCAACAATTTTCAGAGGAGTTTAATGATATAACATAGTAAGTTACTTAAAAATAAGTAATGTTTCTTAAATAAATATTGGTGCTCAAGAGTAAAAAGGTTTAAATATCTTTTAGTATTTGTAAAATAGATGACTTTTGATTTTAGTCTTTTAAAAGAAATTATTTTCGTTCCTGTAAAAACTCTTTTTTTATTTTTGTAATGACTCGATAAGTCACTATAATTAGTATAGCATAGTTACTATGCAACGAAAAATATAAAGCATTAAGCTACACTAAGGTTCTTATGCAACAATACCTAATATTCAAGCAATAATATCCAGATATTCTTGCAACAAATATATGTATAAGGTGTAGAAAACTTAAAATATTTCTTGCCAATATAACTAGAAAACATAAAGTTTGTTATAGGGTTACATATAAACCATGCACATATATATATATATAATATACATCAAAATATACAAAGTACTAAAAATACAAAACCTATCATTGGTCAAATGTATATACACAAGATACTATATCAGAATAGTATCACAAAACTATGTCATCTCTAGCATAACCCTCTACCATGTAAGTCATCCAGCCTAATCCTACCTTGCTTCCAAACCAAGTATGACCATTGTAGTCCAACAATAAGGAAAAGAAAAAGTAAACTTGTGAAAATATCTAACACTTATAAGCATCATGAAAGCCCTTAGATGGACAAATTAGGTTTCATGTTATTCATAAGAGTTGTAAGCATAGATGTTAGCTTTCCAACAACACTAGAAACACCAAAAAAAGGAGTTCTAGAACTCAAGTCATGATCTAATTAGTAAACAAAGGTCAAACTATAAGGTGTGGGCTTAAATGCTGCGGATTTATAATTTTTAAAAATAGTAGATGGGAGAATTAACTCTTAATGTCAACATATTAACTTTCTTGCCAAACATTCTTATTGTTGCTCCATGTCACCCTACTTAAAAAGTATGTCTATGTGCTTTCCTTTATCTATCTTTTTCTTATGAGTAAAATTTTGAGGACGAAATAATTTCTTTAGGGGAAGAATTGTATCACCCTAAGTTCTCTATATTTATATAAAAAAGGGTTTTTTTTAGTTAATTAAATGAGTATTATAAATATTTTAGAGGGTCTTAATAATTATGAGTGTTTTTAATTAAATAATAAATATTTGTGAAATTATTTTGTATAATAGGCATAACATAGGATTTTCTTGGTATTTCGAGTTATAATTAATGTCAGATATTTGATTTGTTTGTATTATGAGGACTCTGGAGTATTCCTTCGACTTAACAATATGTTATAAATCTCGTGAACACAATAAACTTGAAGACTTTGTGGTTATTTAAATTTGAGTACGTTAATATTGCTTTGGGGTGGTGGGTGTCATAGCCATTAATAATATAATTGATAGGTTTAGTAATATTAATCGGTATAACATGATATTTTCATTGACAATGACACTCGTAATAACATAATTAATAATAACAAATTAAAACAATTTTATAGCATTGACAACGAAAATAGTAAAAAAAATTTGTGAGACAGATTAATTAATAACATTTGAGCAGAGAGACTAATTAATATATATATATATATGTGTGTGTGTGTATGTATGTATGTATGTATTTAGATATATTATCTTTTTTTAAAAGGCTAAAATCATGTGTTTTAAATTTGAGAAACAAGAAAGATGTATGTAAGGACTAAAATAATATTTCTTTAAAAAAATATATGAACTAAAAGGACAAATTTTAAATTTGAGAACCAAAATAATAATTTTTATTTTATTTTAAAAACTAAAAACATAAGTTTTAACTTTTAGGGAAAAAATACATATCTCAAATTTAAAAGACTAGAAATATAAGAGAAAAATGTTTTATAGACTCTAACTACAATATAAAAATATTCTTCTAACATCCTTTCAGGATTATTTTTTTTCTTTAAATAAATTTAATTAAAAATTATTTACTTTATTCATTATTTTTTCCCTTGACGTTTCATTTTTTTACTATCAAAATAAAAAAAAATAAAAAAAGAGATTTAAAATAGTAAAGAGAAAAAATTCCTAATCATTTATACAGAAAAAATTTGTAAAAAAAATTAAAAAGATGTGAAACCCACACACCTTTTTATTTTTTCGTAAATCAACACAAAAATCAACAATGTACATTTAAAATACAAATTTATGTAAATAAAACATTAGTCACATTTAAATAAAATCATTATTCATGTAAAAGAATTTTTATTTATGCAATAAAATAAAAATTAAAATTACAGGACTTTCATTCTAATAGAATTCTGATTCATTCGAATATAATTTTACCTATTCGAATGAAAGATTAAAATTTTGTTTATTTATTTTAAATGTTTATTTTGTTTACTTAATTTAAATTCATTATTTTAATTAGTTTTTAATAAAAATATTACTTTAAAATTATTTATTTACTTTTAATTAGTTATTTATTTTATTTTAAATACTATTTATTTAATTATATAATTTTTCATTTAAATGATTAAAATAAAAAATTAATTGATAAATTAATTTTAAAATATTTTTAATTTCTTTTTACTTTATTATTTATTATTTATTTATTTATTTTTCATCTGTTTTTCTTCCATCAAATAATTAAATTTTTATTCTATATTTTATCTATTTTTATTCACTTAACTTTGTTTTTCGTAGTTCTCTTTTTTTTTTCCACTGTCAAACACATTGAATAAGTGTTCTTAGGGGTATTTATATTAGATTAATATATAAATGGGATATCTTTTTTTATAACCACCTTGGTTTCTATTTTTTTTAACTATTATACTTTTTTATTTTAAAAATTAAAAAAAATATCTTTTAATCAAATTGATGAACTTAAAATTAATGAATCTATATTAATATATAAATAAGATACTACTTTTAATAACTATTTTTAGTTTTTATTTTTATATAGGTCATATTATTCTTTATTTATTTTTTAATAATTACTTTTTTTATGAATAATTTTTCATTTTTTTTTTATTTTTTTATTTTTTTTTAATACGCACAAAGTCTTTTTTTTCTGCTAGTGTAAATAAAGAGAATTCCTTAATGGGTGGAAGAAAAGTTCTGAATCAGTGACTGAATATATAAAATATTTATATTTTTTTAAATAAATTTATTATAAAATAATTATTTAATTTAATATTTTATAATTTAACTTATTTTTTTTGAAGTTTTGAAATATGTTTCGGATTATATTTCAGAACGATGTAGAATTTTTCCTAAATAAATGGATGTCAAAAAACAGCACCCTGCAATGAGCTACTGGTGCAGACGTGCACAGTGAATTCCCGTGACTAG